AGTAGACTGCATATGTGATGGCGAGGCTAGAACTACAGACAAGAACACTCTTGTAAGGTTAAGAGAAGAGGGGAAGGCTGTCTCCATGGGAATCTGTTGAATCCAACTAAAAGGGTCAGCCCTAGAGACGTTGGCCAACAAGTGGCAGAACGACATGGCCAGGTGGGAGGGTGGGGAAGCAGAGGGCGACCATGCAAGGATAAAGATCCCCTATCAAGGCATCAACACAAGATCTGGCTGGGAGCCAGGCCTGCTTGCAAAGCTGAGTAATGATTAGTGATTAATTCTCTGCAGCTCATTAAAATGGGAGTGTGGTAATGCAGCTAGAACAGAACAATTCAGGAGCTCCTCTGATGAAAGAGGCAAAGAGCTTTGGAAACACAAATTAATTTTAAAATAAAAAAGCACTTCCACAGAAGAAAAGAATTCTTTTTCTGCTCAACTTCTAGCCAGTGAAACTGGTGAGCTGGGAGAAGAATCCTAAATGCTCTTTCACCAGTTCTGAATATATACCTCACTCGCTCCTTGAGGTCTCCAAGGCCACAGAGGCAAAAATAAATGACTGTACAAATCTGCAAAGGCCCTAAAGCCAAAAACCCTCAAGCTTAAGGAAATTAGCCAGGTAAGAAAATGGGGCCACAGGACTAACTGATAATGCCTTACATTCATATACCATTCACTAAGGACACTACGTATATTTTTCAACATACATACATGTGTACCCATATTTCTACAACGTCATCTGATTTTCACAGTAAATCTTGTCAGGTAGGTGCTTATTACTATCCTCATTTGGTAGGCAAGAAATTGAGACTCTGAGAGGTCAAAGTGACCGGTCCATAGTCACACAGCTAGTGAGTGTGAGAAGTAGACTCTGAACCCAGCCCCCAACCTCAGGTGTTACACTACCCTGCTATTCCTCATGGCTTCTAGTCACTGAGGGCTCATTCTTGACAGTGAAGCTGCTGGAGGGCGGAAAGAAAGATTATATACAACTAATTGGAAGGATGATTTTAACTGTGTATGGTGCCATGTAACTTTCACATTGAATACCTAGAAATGCAGAGAAGTAGTGACCAAAGTCTTCAATGTGGATTCACAGGAAGACGCTGGATAGAAAGCCCGGTAGACTTGACTTGGTAATAGAATCCATCCTTACTCATACTTATTACAGTAACCATCTTAATAAATGCAATATTTCTTACATGTTCGTATAAAACAGCATTAAACAAATTAGCAGTAATGAGAGCGCAGGCAGTCAGATTATGCAAATTTGGATCCAAGGCTGCGGTCACCATCTGCCAATAGAAATATCTGCCTGTGTAAGTTCTAATAACCAATTAAGGGACTGTGGCTGTTTCCTTTGGCCAGCTTTTCTAGTTCTAGCCCAGGATGGAGAGTATCTGGATAAGCACTAAGTTGGCACCCAGAGCCACTCAGCTCTGTGTGTGACTCCTCCATGGACATGTCCACAGTTGGTACTTTTAACCATGCAGAGCTTAAATTTTGGTGAAGAAAAAAAAAACAATGACAGCCTATAAGCATTAAGGACATAACCTAGTATGGCATGATGTGAAGGTGGCACTCTGTCTCATAAGACATGCCTGGATGACCCATCACCTCATGGGACAATAAACCCAGCATTCATCATGTCCTCCAAGCTGTAGCTTGGCTCCAAAGAGGCTCCCGCTCCCTAATTTTCTATTTCTGCTTATAATAACATCTTTGTCCAACTTATCCAGGCTCCTAATCTTGGAATCACTTCTGACTTACCCCCCAGTTATTCCTCACTGTAACACAGGTTCTCAACCCCAGGGTACACAGGCCACCCCCAACTGAGGGTTGGTCCATGGATAGATTTCAGGGGGTTTATGAACTTGGATAGGGAAAATCAGATCTTTATTTCAATATGATTTTTGGTCTCCTATGTAATCCAGTATATTTTATTTTACACACTGAAAAGCATTGTCCCAAGGAAGGGTCTGCCAAAGGGGGCTGTAACACAAAACACTTTAGGAACTCCTACACTCTGGTCAGTCAGTCCCCAAATCCTCCCAATTCTTCCTCTGAGACAGAGCCTGGTGTTGGAAAGAACACTGGGCTTGATACTCAGACAACTGGGTTCAGGTCCTGAGCTCAGCACCTAGTAGGGCAAGGTCTTGCTGAGCCTCAGTTTACCTGTCTCTAAAATGGAGAGAATATTTGCATGCCCTGACTCACAGGGCTATCGTGAGGAAAGTGCTTTATAAAACACTAGAAAAGACAATTTGCTGTTATTTTAAAGAACATTTAATTTCTTCTCCATTCCCATGGTACCCAAGCCTGGCTACCCAGGACCTCAGAGTGACAACCAGTTCCTGGTTAGCACCCTGGATATGACTCTCTTTGCTCCCCAATCCACACTAATATTCCTAAAACAAAGACTCTCATTAGACGATCACAGACTCAGAGCTGGAAAGGATTTCAGAAATCACTTAGTCTACTGCTATTTTTACAAAAGAGGAAACTGAGACCCAGAAATGTGAAGTGGCAGCCCCAGTCACACCAGCCGCTCTTCCGATCACAAACCTACAACAGGCCTGGGGTCTCTCTGGCAGAACCAGGAGAAGCACCTCCACTTTGTCAAGGCCTCCATGGTCTGCTCCCCTGGAATCTCCCCTTCCCACCAAGAACAGCTTCGGCCCTAGTCAGTTTCCTCGCCCCTCCCCAGCCTCACTCACCTCTTCGTCCTGTTTCCCTGGGATGCCTGTGCTCGTCCCATCCACACCACCCCCTCCAGAAGCGGCCTCCCAGCTCTCTTCCACCCAAACAAGCAGCACTTCCTACAGGAGCCTTTCACTCCCCTTCAGTCTTCCTTGTGCTAAGCTGCTGTGCCTCTTTGAGTCTGCACCACACGATTTTACACTTAAAAAAAAGACTGTCTTGTTTTGTTTTCTAAGTGAGTCGCCTGGGTCAGTCTTGTCCAAATTCAATTCAGTTCCAGAGGTGCACGGTGGGGTGGGCAGGCTGGAACATTCGGCCAACGAGAACCTCCAGAAAAAGGAGTAAAGGAGGCCAAGAAGGAACTGCGTGACAGGAAGAGACACTGGACTGGTCCTCTGGCGAGGGTGAGGGAGGCAGGGATATCTGGGTGCTCTGCAAGTACCTTCATGACATCGGGAGAAAAGAGGGTGTTCTCCAGCTTGCTGGATGGAGCTGCTGTGGCAAACTTGGGGAAGAACTGGGTGAGAGTCCACCCAAGCGAGGCAGGCACAGATGGGCTGCAATCTGCATCCCTGGAGAGAACTCATGAGTCCTCCAGCTCGGGCCTCCTCTATACAATACGCCTGATCAAGCCAGCTGCTTGTCCCGTCTTTGATCTCCTGAGCAACATTCCTGCCTCCTCAAGACCACGCTCAGGACTGCCCTGGTGGGGCCCAAGTGTGGCGGCTCTACTGTCCTTGACGCAGAGAAAGCAGTTTGTGACTGCCCTTGGAATGCCTTTAACTGTACAGATGCCTTGCTAAGCTTTCTCTGACCTACATTATGAGATTACCAATGCTGTTCAAAATGATCCATCACCTTGATTCACGAGGCTCAACAGTCAAACTCACATTCTGGCCTGGGTGCTGCCTTTTACAAGCAGCTCTTTTCCATCTCACAAGTAAGTCAGATGTTGGCTGACTGAGGTGCTTTCTGGGCTCCTCTGGGCTTCTAATTGTGGTATATTGGTTAAACATTTCATAAAATCATTATAATCAGTGTCGATGTCATTTCTGTTGTCTGTTTCCCATTTCTAATCGGCTAAAGACAAATCCAGAAGGGTCCTACAGCGGGGGAAAAGGGGGAGGGGGGTGCTTCCTCATCATCTACTAAAGCCCAAGGGTTAATGACAAAAGCACTTTTTTTTAAATGACGTCAGTGACTTCACCTAAGGAAATGACACTGAGAAACTGGAAAATTCAATACAATTTTTAAAAAAGCATTTACAACAGCTTAACTGTTTGGCACATTAACCATCCCCACGGCTGTTCATTTATATTTCAATTATCTTTTGGCATTTATAAGATACCTTTGTTTCAAAGAAAACGCAGGTGTGATCACAGAGCAGTCTGAAGTGCTTGAGCAGACGAAGACCAGGCAGCCCCCTTCTAAAGGGAGGAGGCTGCGACGCGTGTACTCCCATAGCCAGAAGGCTGTGAAATCAGAATCCAAGCACTGGGCTTTTGTTTCAGGCCATTCCCTAGAGAAGTGGCGCCATTCCCTAGAGAAGTGGCTCTGGAGGCAGCTCGGATGCTGCTATCTGCTTGTTCAAGCAGAGGGCTTTCTGTGTTTAACAGGAGCAGAATTTTATCTTGCACAGAAACTGTCTATTCATGGAGAAGAGGACACATGGGCCTGCTGAACTCTGACGAGCTTAAAGAAAGAACCAAGACAATCATTTGGATGACAACTCTAACACTGGCCTTCTGATTCAGGCTGACAGTCATCATTATTACTGGCTTAAATTTTAAAAGGGAAGAAAGGCATTGTTTGTGGAAGAAAGACTACATCTGGGCATTAGCCCTCTCCAACAGTGGCGAGGTCAAAAAGGAGAGGGCAGAATCACCTGGCAAAACGCTCTGGGCCCCAGGAATTCTAAGCAACCTGGCCTATGATAAGCGCTTTCATTTTCTTCTGACAGGTAGAAACTCTCATCACAGAGCTGTTTACGACTGCTGAGTTGTTCTCCCTCACATCAGGCCAGGGACTAGAGGGGATGACAAGGGCAGCTTCTGAGCATGCGGTGGTCTTCCAGATTGCACTCCAGCGAGTGCAGGGGCACCCTGGCGACGGCTCAAAAAGGAGAGAATGGTGCGGACAGGCATGGAGCAGCCCGGCTGACAAGGTCACTAGAAGGAAGTCTGCAAAATCACAAAGATGAGTTGTAGAAAAGGAGCAAGAAAAGGAGCATCAGGCATCCCTGGTGCAGGAGGAGAAGAGCAGGCACCAAAGGGAGGGCGCTCTCCAGCTGTCCTTACCTTGGTGTGCGCGATCAGGAGGCAATTGGAGTGTTCGTGCTCACAAGCGATTTCGTAGTTGGGGAGCAGATCCACAAGCTCTTCCACGAAGCGTATCACCTCCTCATGCCAAGGCACGTTGGCCATGGTGAGGTTGCTGGCAGAGCTTTCTCCGCAGTAGGTCACACCCTACGGAGACATAAGAGCATGGAGGGTGAGAGCTGGGAACCAACCGCCATCATGGACCAGCCCAGAATGCAACACAGAACTGGAAGAGACTTTAGTCCAGTCCTTCGTTGAGGACTGATAAGCACTGAAGGTCATATAGCCACTCAGTGACGGAGCCAGGACCAGTGGCTACATCTCATGATTCCTCCCTAGTCAGTCCACTGTTCTTTGCTCCATAAAACAACGCTTTCCATGAGCTGGATATCTGAGGGGTTACATGTCAAAGTTATCCCACACTTCACACCCCTTACTTATAAGAATACAGAGCATCATTCCAATAGCCATCACATCTTTCATCTGAGAATCTCAATGCACAGTAATATTTCATGTAATACTCAAAGGATTATGAGTCATTATTCCACAATACATGGAACATTCAATAGTTTCTCAACAAATTTGTGTTATATAACATATATATATGTGTGTGTGTGTGTGTGTGTGTATGTATATATATATACACATACACACACATATATTTGTTATATATATGTATGTACGTATGTATTTGTTATAACTGAATAAATTCCTGTTTGGAGGTGAGGGGAGAGGGGCATGGTTTGGAAACAGTCCTGCTTAGTGATCTCCGGAGATCCTTTCAAACTCACAAGCAGATGACTCTTAAAGGGAAACAATGTCTTATTCCATCTTACAGGTGGAAAAAATTCAGCACAGTCACTGAAAGACTCTAAATCTGAGATTTTTCACCTTTTTTGTGTAGTCGTATGAAGCCTAAAGTGTTTTTCAATGCATAAAATAAAATGCATAGGATTACAAAGAAAACTAATTATATGGAAATAAAGATGTATTTCTTCCTCATCCAAGTTCATGAACCCCCTGAAACTGATCCACAGATCCTAATTCTCAAGGTCTGTGGCACCAGGCTAGGAACTTCTTTTTTGCAATGAACTATATTATTATAATTGCCACGTCACTATAAAGATTAAGCTTAATCTAATGTCAGTAGAATTTTTCCTTGGCAATTTTTTTTCTTTCTTTCTTTCTTTCTTTCTTCCTTTTTTTTTTTTTGGCTAGGCAATGGGGATTAAGTGACTTGCCCAGGGTCACACAGCTAGTTAAGTGTTATGTGTCTGCGGCCGGATTTGAACTCAGGTATGCCTGAATCCAGGCCTGGTGCTCTATCCACTGCACCACCTAGCTGCCCTGGGAATTTTCTTAAAGATATGCAGGACCATGGTTCTTGAGCAAGAAGGAACCTAATAAGTTGGCTGGTCTAACCCTCTTATTTCGCAGATGAGGAAACTGAGTCCCAGAGACAGTGATTCACCCGAGGTCACTTGGGGAGTGTCAAAGTGCAGTTTAAACCAGGTTTTCTGACTCCCAAGTCAGTGTTCTTTCCATACTTCATTCTTTAATGATTAACAAAGCTGTTGATTATTAGAAAAATAATAAATGCTCCCTGACATGTGTAAGCACCAGGAGGGCAGGAGCCATTCCTTGCCTTTGCACCCCAAACACTCAGTAGGAAAGGAGACAGGCTCACAGAATACGCAGAAGTCTCCTGCCTATATAGAAATACTTTCTCCAAGAAAAAAAAAATCAGGAGACCCTGGACATGGAATACATGAAATAACACAACCAAAAATGAAAGTGATATTTTAACAGACAGGGGAAAATTGCTGTTGGGGTGCCACTCACAAATTGGCTGTCACTGTGCAGTCAGATCACAGATTGTTAAAGCAAAGATTCAAAATTAACATAAAACTGTAAGAATTATGAGGGAAAAAAATATGGCATACAATTAAAACTACTCCAACATGAACTATTTAAATGAGCTGTAGGTGCTAAAAACTGGGACATGGATGGGAAATAGGGATCGACACGGATTATAACAATTTCCCAAGGAAGTTTAATGGATGCAAATAAATTGCCATAATGAGCAGCTCAAAAGAACCTAGAAACCACACTGGTCAGCAAACCCCTGAAATACATGCCAACTAGAGAGACAGATAGAAAAGCCAAAGGCAATCGTGATTTGGAAGACAACTGCATCTGCAAAATGTTACAAGACTGACTATAAGATATCTCTAACTACCCAACCCACACACTGACTTTTCCATCTCTGTTAAGTTTTTGTGATAATAATCTATACACACACTGAAGACATCCTTGAAAAATTCATGTTAGGAGGAAACAGGCAGGCTTCTGCAAACAATATTCTATAGCAGACCACAACTTTACAGTCACATAACTAACTGAACGGTGCAGAGAATGCAAGATCCCACCTGTTTATTGTACAAAACACCACCTTCCAGGCTTTCTTTTAATACAATGCATATGTGAAAATCATACATTTTCCTTTGAAAAAAAATGCAACAAAAGAAATCACTTTGTTTGGCAGTCCTCTGAGAATTAATATCAAGCCAGGATAAAACAGGGAGATGCATTCTTGCCACAGGTCCTCGCCACCACCAGCCACCATGACAGGGGAGGCTGAGTACAGAGTTCAAAATAAAGATGATCATAGGCTCCTCTGTCTAATGTTGGAAAGGACCGCAGAGGTCATCTAACCCAAGCCCTTCAACCTGAAATGCAGAGCAGTGAGGTGATGTGCCCAAGGTCACGTTCCCAGTCAAGGTTAGAGGCAAGGACTGAACCCTGGTTCTTTGATTCCAGGTTTTCTGACTCCCAAGCCAGTACTTTTTCCATAATTCATTCTTGAATGATTAACAAAGCTGTTGATTATTAGAAAAATAATAAACACTCCCTGACATGTGTAAGCACCAGGAGGGCAGGAGCCATTTCAGCCTTGCCTTTGCACCCCAAACACTCAGTAAGAAAGGAGACAGGCTCATAGAATACGCAGAAGTCTCCTGCCTATATAGAAATACTTTTTCCAAGAAAAAAAAATCAGAAGACCCTGGACATGGAATACATGAAATAACACAACCAAAAATGAAAGTGATATTTTAACAGACACTCTTTACACCAACCAAGGGAATCTCTATGGATGGTGAAATCTTGTATCTCCTCTTGTCTCTGGATGATACTGAGACAACTGCATCAAGCCTGGAACCTCCAAAACAAGATTCACAATCGTTCCTAAGTCTAACCATCCACACAGGAAAAACCAAGAGGATGAAGAACACTGGTTGTCCATATTATGAAACACAATTGGATGGAAAGCCCAAAAAGCTGGTGCATCAGGAGCTGTATGTTGGACAGACACTGAAGATGGACGATGAATGGGGAGTAAAACTGAACAGGACAAGAACAGGCTAGATTACCTTTAGGGAAATGGCATAGTTCTTCTAGTGATAACAGGTTTAATGAAAACGAGCTTCTACCTGAAACAAAAAACCTTCTTTTGACATAAATACTCATCCAGTGCTGTTATATAGGTGCTAGTTAGAGAAGACTAGAGGATCCAAATAAGTTAAAGATCATCCAAAAGGCAAAGGGGAGGCTCATGGGAGGGATGAGCAGGTTACAAAACATTATAAATGAGGAATCACACCAGAGGCAGCATTAAAGGTGTGGGTAAAGATATTTATGACTAGAAAAAGAGATGGGCCAATCACATAAGAAAAGAGACAGTGATAATCCATGGGCAGAGTTTGTATTGTAAATGTCAAGAGGATGAGGGGACGCCCCAAGAATGATGGGCAGATGAGGAGATTTATGGGAATCATGAACGAGAGTCACACCAGAGTAGCAGGCATGGATAGGCTCCAAGCTACATCACTCAAGGGTGGACCCACATCAGAACTGAATGGAACACTGGAATACCCCCCTACACCAGCAAGGAAACACTTAATAAGTATTTATTGGAATGCACTGTGCTCTACTTGGGGGAGGGCAGTGTCCCCAAGAACACGATAATACTAGAGGAAATCAATTCTTGGACTCAGCTTCTCACCCAAAGCACCAAGCACAATGTTTTTGTGAAGTGGGTGTCATCTGGTGGCCGTGGCCGTGGGTGAATACCCCATGAAGCCAAAAGTAAAATGTGCTAAAAATGGCAGGACTGGATTTCAGTCCCATCATTCTGATTCTGTGCTTAGAGAGAAAGAACAAAAGAGGTTCATACCACCACCACACTAAGAGAATGCTACATTTAAAGAGAGGGGGAATGAAAGACTGAATGAAAGAATGAATGAATGAATGAATGAATGAATGAATGAATGAAAATGCATTTATTCAGCACGCATTACATGCCAGGCACTGTTCCAAGTGCTGGAGACACAAAGGCAAACAAACAAGACAGTCTCTGCCCTCCAGGAGCATGCAATCTAATAGAAGATGAACACATGGAGATAAGCTGGTGTGGGGGCTGGCGGTCTCAATAATTACTGTCAGAACATCAATTCCCGACAAACTTTGTCCCCTTTCAGATGCACCTCTGGGGCACGTGTTACACAGGCTCAGAGCCCGTGGAGCATCTGTTGGTGCATTCGCTGTGCTAATAGCACTGGGGTAACCACCATTCATTTGTGCACGTGCTCCCTCGTGTCGCTTCCGGCGGCCTTTTAACACAGAGGCCATGGTGCAGGGCTGCCTGAGAAGGCACACCACAGGGACAACAATTCTAGGCCCTTAAGCCATGCTTTCCCAGCAGACAGTCCCCAAAGTTCACCATTCCTGGACCTCTGAAGTTCTCCAGACTCTCTCCAGACTACGTCCTGGAGACCAGCACAGGAGGAGAGAATTTATCCTTAGAAGGGACCTTCAAGGTCATCTTATCCAACCCCCACCCCCTATTTTACAGATGAGGGAGCTGAGGTCCTGAGTAAAAAGCAGCAGGCTCTGTATCCCCATCTAGTGTTCTTTCCTCCCCACCACGCCCCACCTCACCTCTCTCTGAAGTCAGGCCACAGAAAAGCTCCCAGGAGCTCGGAACTCAAATTCCTAAAACTCCAGAGCGAGGTTCGCCTGCTCCTGCAACCAGCCAGTTTTCAACAGCAGACCCCAATGTCTTGAGCTACAGCCTCCACACATACAAA